CCTGACTGCTCAAACTATCCAGCAAATATCCTCTGCTACCAAGTCTCAAAGTCAGTTCAATGACTCCTTCAAGAACAGAAAACTTCTGTAATGAACTACAAGCACGAGCTTTCCTAAGTTGTTCAACTGTCCTGGTTTCCCTTGAACAAAAGAAAGGAATGACAAAGATGGTTTTAACATTCTCCTTCGCTTGACTAAACTTTAGACAGGTTTCTTCCTGATTATGGCCCTGGACTCTCTTTTCTTAGCACATTTACTTTAGAAAACTTTCAATTATAAATTCCTTCTCTGCCTCTTTGAGAGGTTAATCTACAACCCAGAAATTTCATTCTCAAGGACTTGGGAGTCATCCCTTTGAAATGTAAATATTAGGAAGGATAGCACCCTGTCTCCCTGTCTCTGTGGGAGGATAGTAGCCTACCTTCAATAAGGGACAATTAGCAGACACAGATGGCTTAATCACATTAACCAACCTCCCCTCTAATGTTCTCCAGTACTTTTCCACTAGCTCATTCCAATGCTAAAAATCCTTCCTGTCTTTTGTTTCAATGGAATTGAGTTCAATCTTTCTCCCCTATTGCAATAGTCCTGAATAAAAGTCTTCCTTGCCTATTAAGTTGTCCAGTGCAATTTTTCTTTGACACTCCTCACAGCAATGTGAACACATGCAGAGAAGGGTTTTGGTGTTCAGATACTTTACCATTCAGTCACTACACAATTGTGTCCTTTGGTAGTTTTCAGTGTGGATTTGACATGGGGAATTAAGTTTCTTACATGGTAAGGAAGAACCAGCAGAGTAGTATGTCGTGTTTATTCATAGACCACAGAAGGAAAGTCACTTTTGAGGAGAGGAAAAAAACACTCCCTGTCGTCAATATGAAAGCTTTTCAGTCAGTAAAACTTAATATAAAATTATGTGTTTCCCCCTACCTCATATTTTAATAAAAAGTTTGAAAAGCAGTAGTTAGGCAGTTCTATGTCAGATAAATAGTATACCTGCAGCTCATTACTGAAAACATTCATTAAAGATGAAAAACATAAGACCTTTTATAGAAACTTTAACTGGTCCCTGGTTCTTAGCATTTAATTATCATTTCTAAAATCTGAAATCAACATATTTTATGTCTAAATTGAGAGTACATTTGAAAATCAAAATTCACAGGCATGCCTTCTAGTGGGCTGACTGATGGGAAAGGGTTGTGATTATGCCTAATTTTCACCCTCTACAACACGATCTCATTGATTATGTTTCTCAGCTTGCTAAGGGTTTTGTGAGGTGATTTTCAAAATGAATATTGCTATTTGCAGGATTTCCTGAATAGGAATATTTCGGGAGTAAATTGCACAAACTAAGCGATGTGCAGTCAATTTTCACTCCAGCATAAACAATGTATTAGAACAGAGCCCTTAAGGCTTTTTTTTTTTTATTTGGGTTTCATTACACAGCTAGCTGCATTTCATCAATAAGCACGAAGTGCCGAGCAGGCCAAACTGAGGCTCATAGAGGGTATTACATATTTTTCTAACAGGTGTTCAGAGTTTGACCAGAGAAAACAAATGACCTGGATGACAAGACCTTAGGCCCTTTGTTTCAGAGGTAGCCATTGCCACCATGTCTAGACAAAAAAGAATTATTTGAATTTAGGAAATGGCAGCTTGTACATTGACTTTCTTTGCATTAACTCTTTTCTCAGATTTTTAAAAGGCATTTCTTTCTCTGTGTTAAAAAATGGGCATGTCCTCAAAACTGTTTAAAAAGTTTATTTTTGGTTTCCAATAGTTTAAAGTTAAGCAAAGCCCACTTTCCCATCTTTCTTTAATTGAAAAAAAAATAGTTTAATCTCTTTAAGCAGAGGGCTAGAGCTGGCTGTACAGACTAAAATCATATATCTTGTAGAAGAACTCTGAATATCAATAACTCATTATTTAGACAGTGACTGTAGATAGAAACAAGACAAAGAGAAATAAAGAACTAGGTAAGTTAATTATTCACACAGGTCACTACCTTCTGATTATAAGCTCAGAATTATGGGGGGATCTCAAATCATTCTACATATGATTTTTTAAAAACATTTTTATTGATTTTTAGAGAGAGAGGAAGGGAAAGAGATATAGAGATAGAAACATCAATGAGAGAGAAACATCAATCAGCTGCCTCCTGCACGCCCCCTACTGGGGATCGAGCCCCAAACCTGGGCATGTGTCCTGACCAGGAATAGAACTGGGGACCTTTTGGTTCACGGGTTGCCGCTCAACCACTGAGTAATACCAGGCTGGCTTTTTAAGATATTTTGATCTTTTTTGGGGGGGGAGAGATACAGCCACAAGCAGAAGAAAAAGGCTAAAGAAATATTTTTGAAATCCGCACTCCAGAGGAGAAAAACTCAGAATATACCCTGAGGACTGAAGCCAAGGAGTTTTACTGTCAGGAAAATAGAAGCTGCCTCTCCCCTCAGTGAGTTAGACCAAGCTGCAGGAGATTTTCTGAAACTACACATAGCATCGAGAGTGGTGACTTGTAGCTTTGATAAAGGGAAGTGATTAACAGGGTTGAGAGCAGCTTTCATTCCAAACTGCAGGAACCTATTTGGCAGGAACCTATGGACCATGGACAAACAAACGCCCAGTGCAACTTTTCAAATTTGAGAGCCATTCTGGGGGCACAGACTGGGACCAAAGTCACTTTGGTTGAATCAACAACATCCATTTGTATCATAGGGCTTTGTCAACTTTTAAATACATTCCACGTACAGCCATAGCTAACATTGAATATATTTTTCATCATTTAAGGAAGAAGCACATTTTAAATGATGATTATGTTAGAAAGTAAAGAAGTGCGCTTTTATCTGTGAGTTACAAAAAAGCTATTTCTGACTGGGAACAAAGAGTTTATGGCCTTTCCTCTTTGCAATATTAAACCAAGAAACATTTAAGAGTAAACTAGATCCAAAATAATTGAGAATGTGGCTGAGGTCATTGTTTACTGGACCAAGTAACTGTACTTCTTTGTTGAGCTCACTTATTGAGTCATGAAAAGTCAGTATTGATGACACGCAGTTGCCCCGGAGAAGGGGTGCTTTTCAAATACCTCTGAGGACACTATGTACTAGCTGGGTGGAAAAACTAAGAAATCCCAGAACTGATGTCTTCCCTTAATGATGATGTGGTTTTGCTCTCATCTGGTCTTGTTCTTTTGACCACACACGTCCCAAATGCATGGTGACTGGTGCATCAGAAGGCACACCTTGGTGTCAAGGCCTCCGTCACTCTGCAGGCAGTGTTAACTGTCCTGTGCACTTTCTTAAAATTAATTGAATTTGTTCTGGGCAAAGCCGACTGTGACTTGAGTTTAATCGTCAGCCTGAACCCAGTACCACCTAACTGGTCGAGCAGCCTGGGTTTTGCACTGATGACGTGATGTATGTCTACCTGCGGCTCACACAGTGTCACCTGCTCTAGCTTTCAGAATGGTAGATATAAACATCAGGAAGAGGCGGGGTAAAAGTAGGGGATTGCACTTTGCAAATATAACTCATTGTAGTTATATCAAAGCTCGCTCTCCACCTTACCCTATCCTTACTTTTCTTCTCTGGCTAACTGTCACACTTCCTTTTATCCTTGCCTTATCTCCCAGCGGAACAGCAACTCCACGGAGACACACATTTTAGATTGTTATCATCTCACAAAGAAAATAAAATGGAAGAATGTGGATCAATAAGTTAAAAGGCAAATTTACTTAAACACGTTACTTAACATATTTAGTCTGAAATTACCCATTACATTAATTAATAGGTTGTACTTTCAATCCGATTGGTTTATTTGATTGTCTACTTAATGTCACTGGCCCGCAGGAGATGCCAGACGTGGCATCACGTTGGGACAAGGGCCTAGAATATGATCCTGGGAAGGGAGGGACGGCAGAAACGTCGCTGGGGGCAGGGACGCTGAGAGGAAGTGGTGGCACCCAGAGGGCACGCGTGCCTGCGCCACAGGCTCCCTGCGGCAGCTCGCTGCCACGCTGGCTAACCGAAAACTCCCCACCGCCCGCCGAGCCCGGGCTGCGGGCAGGCAGAAACGGGGGGGACAGGGTGCCCTCTGCATTCAGAGGACAGTGTGGGGGCCTAGTCAGGCCTGGGAAATTTAAGTGTAAATCCACATACGAAGGCTACTGGGGGTGCATACAGAGGTTCAGAAGAAACCCTAGAAGGCTTTTTCCATCTGCTTGGGAGTCTAGAAGAAAGCTTGGAAGAAGCAATGGCACTGACCTCAGCCTTGAAGGATGGAAGATATTCACCATGAGAAAAAAACGGAGAAAGAAGTCATTTCAAGATCAAGATCGAGGCCACGGTATCAAGCCACGGGCGTATAAAGAGACCCTCTAACCTGCCGAGGCTAGAGGACGAGAGGCTGCTGGCAGCAGAAGGGGAGGAAGGTTAAACTGGAGTCATTCCCAGGCGGTTTTGTAAAGTCTACTAAAGAGCCTAGACTTTATTTTTGTAGGCACCTCATCTCCTAAGTGACTTCAGTTTTGAGATAAGGAGTCTACAAGAGCAGATGAAGTGCACCTAAAATGTGGGGTGGAAAACGGATGGTGCCCTGCCCGGTGCGGCTCCGCTGGCTGAGCGGCATCCCGCGCACCACGGAGTCACCGGTTCAGTTCCCGGGCCGGGCGACTCGGGAGGCAGCCGATCAATGCTGGTCTCTCACATTGATTTTGTCTCTCCCTCTCCTTCCTTCCTCTCTCTCTGAAACCAATAACAAAGAGTTAAAAACAGAAAAAGAAAAAAAAGAAAAAGGACTGTAGTAGCACATATGCAGGCATTCTGGTGATATGAGTTTAATGAACACATTATTGCTAGTAAATGCTGTAAACAGAAAATGCGAGTCAAATAATAAGCAACATTATAACGTCAGTGATGCTGATGATAACGAATGAGAGACTTAGTTCACTGTTATTGCCATTCTTCTGGAAAACAAGATTTAAAGCAACAAGTCCCTACCTTAATGTCAAATGGCCCTGTTTGATTTGGTTGATTATAAATTTCCAACTGATTCCTAATAGGAGACAGCCACAGCAGCAGATGATTTAATTGCTCTTCGAACTTTCCAAGATCTTTTATGTGAGCCTCAATTTCTCCTTGTTTTGTAGGTAGGTCTCTAGAAACCTGCAAGGAAACGAAAAGTAGAGATTCTCGTGATAAATAAAAAAGGAAAAAAAATATTTTCAAAAGTTACGTTATAAAATGTTATACAACTTTTCTGTATTTGGTATTTTAACAGCATGATACTGATTATTTACATATCCTGCATGTTAGGATTTAATTTATGCATTACAAATCATGGAGTAATAGCCTTTACAAAAATGCTATGCTTGGAAGACAGTAAGCCTTTTCTTGGAAATTGAAAACACATCCCCACAAACGAAAACCCAACTCCGATAAAATTAAAGGGGTGCCTTCTTCACTGAACCCCATTTGTTACACATAATGGTGTGTTGTGTATTAATATCACAAATGTAACTCCATGTATATAATCTATAATCTAATAATGCCCTTGATTTAGCTTTTTCAGCATTTATCAGAGGGTAACCGGTTTCTTTTCATTGGATCACTGCCTACTCGCAAGTACATATAGAAAACATTTTACAGCTTCAACTTGAAGCATCTAAGAGCCTCTAGATTCTGAAGCTACTGGAAATAATAGCCGTCGTATTCTAAAATCCCTACAATAGAACTGAGCTCATTTATACCTGATCGCAAAACAGTTCGTGTTTTATTTAGGCTTCATATATAAGCATGGAAATGTGTATAACTTTTAACTAAAGCTGTTGGTCAAATCCTCCTCACCCCAACCCATTTCTTCCTGGTTATAGAGACAGAACAATTCCTGGCAGAAAACACCGCAGTTGGTGAGATGTGGCTAATATCTGGAATAATTAACTGGCAGCTTATAATGAAGTGGCGGGGCATAGCTTTCAGCTTAGTTATGACACCTGTTAGGTATATCCTCAGACCCTATGCTTCCCCCCACCATGGAATTTACCTTACACTGTTTAATTTGTTATTAACATTGACTTTCCTCGCTGAGCTTTGATTTCTGGATGAACTGGGTTTCTACACATGATAGACTTTCAATAAATAGCTGTTGAATGAAAGGCAAACATTTTCCAAACTGAGAATTAATTTCTTTTTTTAAGGTAAGAAGCAATACATGGCCAGAGTAGTCAACAACATAAAAATGTAATTTTAACCTCATGTTAAGCAGCTTTAATTAACGGACAAAGATATTATTAAATTGGACAATATAAACAAGAGAGACTTCTGATGGCAAAAAAAACTAAAAGCAAAGTCAAAGGACAAAGGACAAATTGCAAAAAAACTAATATTTGTGACTCACTTCTCAGATAAGGGACCAATTTTCCTAACACAGAAGAGAGTTTCTGTCAATTAACAAGGAAAAGGCCAACAACCCAAAAGAAAAGTGGACAGAAGTTAAGGACAGTTGACAAAAATAGAGCACAAATGGATTTTAAACATACAAAAAGAAGCTAAACCTTGGTCATAATGAGAGGTCTCAAAATTTCATTGCACTGACAAAAATCTAAGTATAAATACACACAATGCTGTCAAGGTTGCACGAAATGTCGATGGCCATTGGGATGTATGTATTGGGGTACCCTTTGTGGAAGACAATTTGGCGGTATCTATTAAATGCATATAAACCTTTGAACCACTACTTTTACTTCTAGGAATTTAACTTTAAAAAAAATTTCTTTTGGTGACTTTGAGAGAAGAGGAGGAATGGAGGGGGAGACAGAGAGGGAAACATCGATGTGAGAGCGAAACATCAATTGGCTCCCTCTGCATGTTCCCTACTGGGATCAAGCCCGAAACTGGGGCATGTGCCCTGACTGGGAATCGAACCATCAACCTTTAGGTGCATGGGGCGATGCCCAACCAACTGAGCCACACCAGCCAGGGCTCTAGGAATTTATCTTGGAGATATATTTCTGAAACTAAAATCATTGTTTGGCGAGGGTAGGACAGATAGTGGATGGGGTGGGAGATATTTCACTGTATTTTTCAAATATATAAATAGATTTCTTCTGCAAAGACATAAGTTAATTTGGAAAAGAAAACTACTAGCTTTTCTTCATACCAAAAAATAGTGGTGAGAAATTATACTTTATATATTTCAATAACAAATCATCATTAATAGGATATAACATATCTAAAGTCATCAGTCAAAAATCCTCTTATTTTTCTATGACAACATCACTTAGTTAATGGTAGGATGGAATTTGAGATCATCTAACATAAATTTTGTGTTCCCCCTTCAAAACAGTATTCAGGAATTGATGGCTTCTCCTATGTACTTCATAAAAAAAAAAAAAAAAATTGCAGATGTGAATAATTTACTATTTAGACTAAGATTAAGTTTTATGTCTGATTGTACATGTTTTAAAATAATTACTATTATATTTACTACTTTATATTCTTATCAAAATGCAAACGTAAAACACTTAACTAGTAAAATATATTATTTTTCCCCAATAATCTTTTTAAGTATTATAAAACCATGCTCTTCATAAAACATATTCCCTATGGGGAAAGAAAACAATTAAAAACATTCAGTTCCCTTATGTGAGAATTTAGTATCTAACTGAATCTTGACCTAATTTCACACAAGATTAGCTTCATTTCTTTTCAATTTCTGAATTTTAATTTCTAAATGTGTAGAAGTTTTAACATTAAGATAAACAGAGGTGTTTTAGAAATAAACAGATATTAAATATTGACTTAATGTCTTATAACAAAGATAGTCTAGAGAAATTGCAGTGATAAGTATTAAAAATTAATAATAGCAGCCCTGGCTGGATGGCTCAGCTGGTTGGAGTGTCTTCCCATACACCAAAAGGGTGCGGGTTTGATTCGTGGTCAAGGTACATACCCAGGTTGAGGTTCTATCCCCAGTCGGGGCACATATGGGAGGCAACCGATTAATGTTTCTCTCTTATGTTGATGTCCCTCCCTCCCTCTCTCTCTCCAAAAATCAATAAAAACATCCCCTGGTGAGTATTAAAAAAAGTTAATAATAACAGAACTAGAATAAAATACTGGCAGAAGCAGAAAGAAATGTAAATAAACTATTAAATATATTTGTTTTGTTCACTTAGAAATGAAGGCCAATTAACAGAATTAAAAGCAAATGACAACTGGGAATATTTACAGCATCTATTAAAGGGTAACATTGTTACATATAAAAATAAATGAAGAGCCTGGCCAGCCTGGCTCAGCGGTTGAGCATCGACCTAGGATCCAGGCGATCGGGGTTCAATTCCCGGTCAGGGCACAGGCCCGGGTTGTGGGCTCCATGCCCAGTCAGGGGCGTGCAGGAGGCAGCCGATCAATGACTCTCTCATCATTGATGTTTCCATCTCTCTCTCTCCCTCTCTCTTCCTCTCTCCGAAATCAATAAAGATTTAAACTAACTAAATAAATAAATGAAGAGAGATGGAGGATCTTCTGTAAAACTAAATAAAGAATATAAACAGGAATTTGACATAAAACACAAACAGCTGATAAACAAAAGTCCGATCACTACGTAACCAACAAAATGCAAATTTAAACAGCAACGATATACCATCATTTGCCTATTATAATGACTTTTGTAAAAGGTATTTGTCAAAGTTCTTATGGTGTTTGTTGGAACATAAATTCTTACATTTGTAGGTAGCATTTTGATAAATCAAAACAAAAAGCAAGACTTCTACCTGAAAAACTAGAAACATTACTGAGAGATTAAGCAACAACTAAACAAATAAAGGAATATACCTTGTTTCTCTATTGGAAGGATCCAAGGGAAGGAACACATTGGAAGGTCCAATATTGTAAAGATAGCAGTTCTCTTCAAGTAATTTGTAAGTTCAATGGAATCACAATAAAAATTGCAACAGCTAGTTTTTAGTAAAAATTCATATGACAGCCCTAAGATCTATATAGAAATCCAAAGGGCCAAGAATATCCAAGGCAGTCTTGAGCAATAACAAGGTTTAAGAGCATAGGGAATCGACTCAATAATATTGGGATAAGTACATGCAGGGCCAGGCAGGTAATTGAAGAGTGGGGCCACCACTCCGTCAAGTACATGATTTTCTAACCACTTTGCCGTACATCTAAAACTAACACAGAATAATATTGAATGTAAGCTGTAAATGAAAAATTAAAAAAAGCATTTGTATAATTAGTGCATTTAACCTTGAAAAAAAGAATGCTTACAACCAGATATCAATATTTATTATAATTAATTCTGCGTGGTATTTGCTCTGAGAACAAACAAACTATAACATTTACTTAATTTATGACAATGGTGCCATTTTAGTTAAGAGTGGGTGATTTCAATAAATGGTTCCAGGTTAATTGGCTATTCATATGAAAAAATAAATTTAAAAACTTTATTTTTCAATTATAGTTTACACTCAATATTATTTTGTATTAGTTTCAGGTGTACAACTTAGGGGTTAGACAATCATGTACTTTACAAAGTGTTTCCCCCGATATTTCCAGTACTACCTGGCCCCATATGTAGTTCTTACCATATTATCGACTATATTTCTATGCTGTACTTTACATCCCATGACTATTTTGTAACTGCCAATCTGTATTTCTCAATCCCTTCATCTTTTTCACCCAGTCCCCCAAACTCCTTCCCCTCTGGCAACCATCAGTCTGTTCTTTGTATCTGAGTCTGTCTCTATTTTGTTTGTTCATTTATTTTGTTCTTTAGATTCCGCATATAAGTGAAATCATATGGTATTTGTCTTTTTCTGACTGATTTATTTCACTTAGCATCATACCTTCTAGGTCCACGTTGTCAGAAATGGCAAGATTTCATTTTTTTTTTATATTAGAGAGAGGAAGGGAGGGGGGGAAAGAGAGACGGAAAGAAAGAAAACGCTGACATGAGAGAGAAACATCAACTGGTTGCCTCCTACACACCCTGAGACCAGGGATTGAACCCAAAACTTGGGCAAGTGCGCTGAGCAAGAACTGAATCCGCCACCTTTTGATGTACGGGATGACGCTCCAACCAACTGAACCACACCAGCCAGGGCAAGATTTCATGCTTTCTATGGTTGAGTAATATTCCATTGTTTATGTGTACC